CTTTACAGAGAAGGCAAGTGGGATCCTAAGAGAACTGGTGTCTTGTTCAGAGTTGTACAACCATGAGAGACAATTTTTTTTTTTTTTTTTTTTTTGCGGAACCAGGGATTGAATTCAGGCCCTTGAGCTTGCCAGGCAAGCGCTTATTCTATTGAGCCATCTCCCTGGCCCTATGAGAGACAATTTTAACTCAGATCTGTTTAATTTCAAAGCCAGAAAAGCTCTCTGGGGAGGTGACCGTTGGTCTGAGACCTGCTATACACAAGTGAAAAGTGTGTATAGGGGGAAGAAGGAACTAGGCATGTTCACGACACTGTGGGCACCTATCTCATAGAGTGGTTAGGGAGGAAAATGAGACCTAGGATAGTAAAACAATTTTTTTTTCTTTTTCTGAGGCAGCGTCTCTCTAGGTGATTCGGGCTGCCTTGAACTGCAGTTCTCCCGAGCACCTGGCTTACAGGCATGCACTACCACACCCAGATCTAGCCAGGGCAAGGAGTTCTTGCAACTAGGCACCAGCCTTCAGAGATACGCTGGCCCTGGCCTACAGACACCCGCTCCTCGGTCCTGAGGAATGTGCAGCACCGAGGCCTGCCCCTCTCTGAGACTCTGCTGAGATTCTCCCTGGCTCTGCAGGGGAGAGGCGGGCAGCGAGGTGGAAGGACCTAGAGACAGGTGCACAGGAGAACCGTGTGGGGAGCAGCCTGCAGATGCCCAGCTGCTCCTTTGGAATCAGCAGCTGGGGTGCTTCTAAGCAGGGTGGGTGCCCTCTTCAGGGAGCTGTGCTTCTAGTACATGCAAAGGAGGCATGGCACTGCCCCAAGCAGGGGGAGGAGGAGGCCTGGGAGAAGCAGAAAGAGCCACATGCCAAGGACTTAGTCTACTTCAGGTGTTGAGCCAGGAGCCTATGTGGGTGAAGTCTAGGGACTTGCTCAAATCAGAGGCACAGGGTTTGAACTAGAGTTCTCCAGCCCCCATGCTGGCCCTGAGGCTGCCTCCCCAGCTTCCCCAGACCAACCTGACCAGGACGGGGAGCGGCGGCCAGGGCTGAGTCCATGCAAGCAGCGCTCCAGGGCGTGCTGGATGCGGTCCTCCGTGCACGTCGTGGCCCCTGGCTGCATCCTGAGTCATTGCCTGCGGTGGGAACAGATACCACGTCACTCTGTTGAACTCCTTCCCTTTCAGAGGAGCCCTGGGCCCAAAAGACAGCTAGAAATTCCTAGCCCGATGTAGTGAGCCCACTACTGCTGGGTGCTGTGGGCACTCCCAGAGGGGCTCAGCTGTTTCCAGGGCAGAAGTGGATTCTAGAAGTCACATCCCAGCACCAGAATGGAGCACCCAGAGGCATAGCCTGAGTAGAGGGGCACAGGCCTGCCAGCTCCCAGGGAGCGCCACCAAGTTTCAAAGAATACCCAGAGAATGGCCAAGCTCCAAGAGGACCTTGAGAAAAAACCCAAAATCATTTGGGGGATTTTTTTCTGACTTTCCAGGCTTGTGTCCCCAAGTCATCCAAGAACAGCTGCAGCATCTGCCTCTGCGTGCTGGTACTCTACAGCTGAGGTACAGGGCAGGACTGTGTCTATACATACCCACTGCCATCCCACCATGTCCTCTGCTTGGGTACCCAGGGCTGGGGCACCTGTGTCCTTTTTGCCTTAACTTCTTCCTTTGCCATTTTTCTTTCCTTTCTCTGAAGCTTCTTGTTACCAATTATACAAAGCTCTCGCCTGGTCTCCCTTCCTTGTTCTCCAGAGGATCCTTATCTTGGCCACAAGCCATCCAGGGGAGGGTAAAGAAAGGGCTCTAACTGGCCGGAAAGATAGCTCAGTAGAATAAACACTTGCCTGGCAAGCGCAAGGTCCTGAGTTCAATCCCTGGTACCGCAAAAAAAAAAAAAAAGGATGAGTGAGTGACGCAGAGGCTCCAGCAGGGCCAGCCTCGCCTCTCAGCTCTGGGTGAGAGCTGCTGCGTGCAGGCAGTTCAGCACAGCGGTTAAGCCTGGTGCTGGCATCCAAGTCTTGGACTGAAGCCTAGACTCTGTTACTGTCTAGCCACAAGATGCAAAGCAAATTGTTTAACTTTTCTGCAATTTGTCTTCCTTATCCAAGAAATGGGGATGACATTGGACCTAATCTCACAGGGCTGTTGGGAAGATGAACAGGCCTCCAAGCAGGCCTCCCTAGTGCCATCACTGTGGTCCTGCAGTCTCTACTACCAATCACCGAGACCTGGGAGCCTTACTACATTCACCCCTTCTGGGCAGATCTGGTCACTGGCCAGTGGGACTAGGTCATAGGCAAAGACAAGGAAGTGGCCGGCCAGCTTTGTGGATCTGGGGACAGACCAGGAAACCAAGAGGAGGATGCTCCGCACTCAAAGCTGAACCATGCAAACGACATGCAAAGAGATGGACTCCTAACCCGACTGTGTGACTGAATCATTCAGATCTGTGTCCCACGAAGGCAAATCATCCTGCTTCCCCAGCCTGGAGGAAGACACCCTCAGTGAGCTGGCCAGCACTGCTTCATTGATGTCCCAGGGGCCTGAGCATTTGAGAGCTCAGATTATATGGGGGGAGCGCACAGGTGTGAGGTATACACATTGACAATTAGACAAAATAAGATGAATCCCAGGCAACAGGTGCTATGAAGAAATGAGAGTGCTGGGTTAGGACATCTGTAGAGCCCACCTGGATTTCTGGGGGGTCTGAGGAAAGGAGATTTGAGCTGGAGAAGGAAGCCCTGAAAAAGGGAGATGAGGAGTATTCTAGAAAGAGGTGACAGCTGATGCTAACTTCTTGTTTCAGGAATTTATGTGCGAAGGAGCTAGATTCCAGGACATGGGGACATGGGCCTCGGCAGGCTCAGACACAGCCTGACCCTCCAGGTCCCAGGTGTCTGGCTGCTGGGGTGGCAGGCTGATGTGCAGTGATCTAGGACTCAGGACCCTCGGTGTCTCCGTTAGTGATACCTGGGTGAACCAATGCATCCGTAGGCCTTTCATGGCAATAGTCACAGTTGCCTTTGGACCAAGTGGAGAGTCCATTGCTCCCAGACAGCCTGGGAAGATTCCTGGTGCTTTGCTCCTCTCTCACCTTGGACTGTGCCAGTGCTTAGCATGGATGAATACCTGCGGGGATTAGCACGGTGGTGGGGCTCTGCCTCCTGCCTTCAGTGGCAGCCCAAGCACAAGACCTGCTGGAGGAACCAGAACACCAGGCACCTCTCACGGATGACTTTGGGGCACAGGTGACCAGCCCAGATGCCATCCACCCATCCTTTGTTCCCACAGATTCTTCCCCCCAGCTCTAGGCTAACTCTGTGGAGGGGTTCACAGGTCTCCCAGGAAGGCCCTTCACCTCACAGAAGAGGGAGAGGGGGAACCAGGGTGGATAGGCAGCTCACTCACAGCAGCCAGGGACAGGGTCAGAGGGACCCACTGCACTGACTGGGCAGCCAGCTAGGTGCAGGCACTGCCACTGTAGGCTCAGCTTACTACTTGCTTGGCCAGCAAACCCTCCCAGCTGCTCCCGTGCTGCCTGGGAGTAATATTAGGGCCACAGGGCTGAGAGGGAACACGAGGGGCATCCAGCTGGGCCTCTAAAGGGCAAGTCACAGACATGAGCTCCTGCTGAGGTGGAGTGTTGGATGCCAGGCACAGAAGCTAAACCTGAGTAGACCCCATTACTTCACCCCAGTAGGTCACCAGCAGTTTGACAGAAATCACCAGTAAGAGGCCAAAGCCTGAGGAAGCCTGAACAACCTCGTGGGATACCGATGACCTCGTGGGATACTGATGAGACAGGAGGAAGAGGTGGGCAATTAGTGGCCCAGAGAAGTGAAACAATTGCCTGAGGTCACACAGCTAGAGAGGTGACAGACATAGCCAGGACATGCACTCAGGGAATCTGGGTTCTGTGCCACTACAGTACATTGACCCTCACCATAGTCAGATGCAGTTATTAGAAGAAAAGTAAAACCAACTCATGCTTCTACCCATTAATTACGAGGATGCAGCTGGGGTTCTCAAGCCCTGCTGTCTTCCTATGCCTGCCGCCCGCACAGCCCTGCTTCCTCCAGAGAGGACCAGGACTCAGAAGATTGGAAACCAGAGGGGACCCCTGGCAGTCCTCTCCCTAGGGAAATGACCCTGGTGGCATGTAGGTGTGTTGAGCCCAGAGCACAGGCTGAGCTGTTGAAACTGGGCTTGAAGTCACCCTCAGCTGAGCTCCGATGTGATGGATGGCTGGGCTTGCCTTGAGGCAAGCAGGAGCCACTTATGTGTCTCACACATCCGTGATACAAACGCAGACTCTCAGCCAGTGTCACTCCTGCTGTGTCTTGTCTTTAAGGCTGTGAAGGTGGCAGAGCACAGTGTCCTGGGGTTGTGGCTAGCAGGCTTTCGAGAATACCAACGGCTGCCCCCAGGGCCCATTAAGGCCTGCTGACCATGGCTTCTCTCTCTCTTCTCCCTCTTGCTCCATGTATCCAGTCCAGTGGAGACTGCCAAGGCCTTCTCCAAGGGAACATCAGTGCCCTCTGGCCCCCAGGCCAAGTTTCCAGTGTGGCAGCCCCCTGGCATCCCTGGGCCATCTAGAGATTGGCCTCAGCTCTTCTTAGTCAGGACTTTTTGGGCCTGGGTGACCCAGGGAGTCCAGTTGAGGGTGCCTCTATTGAGCTGCTCTTGCCCATGGGTCAGTACAGCACATGGTGGGTCAGCACCTCAGCCCAGCAAGCTCATTTCCTCCTGGTGACTCAGGGAGTCACCAGTCACTCCTTGTGACTCATCAGCAGAAATACACAGCTTTGGGGAGAGGGGAGATGGTGGTGCCCCTCTCTTCAAGGTGAGGACTCTTTTCAAAAGCATAGAAGGCTAAGCCTGGCTTCCTGGCATCCCTCTCCCCAGCCCTGACTTGGTAAAAGAAGCCCCCATTGTGAAATCCCAGTACTACCAGAATGCCCCCCCAACCCCAAGGTGGTGTTGAAACATCCACAGTGGGGCCGGCCCCATCTCTGAGTTCCTCTTCTGAGCCAGCACAGAGGACTCAGAACCCTTCCAGGGGACCCTGAACAGTACCTGAATTGGGGGTGGTGGGTCTGTAGGAACCCAGGGGACTCAGGGAAGGTAGTGCTGTTTCTACAGCCTCTGCACGTTGACACGAGCCCATGGCACAGGAGGGCTCAAGCAGGAACAGGGCTGGTAAGAGCTGGGGTTGGCCCTGCTCTGCTTCCTATGGCAGCTGCCATAGGGCTTCTTTCCTTGGGGGACTTCTCAGTCAGTGCTGAAAGGCAGAATCTTGGGGGAGGGACAGGGGGATGTGGGACTCAAGCTTCATGCTAGGACCTTGTACTGCTTTCCTGGTATTTTGGAGTATTCCAGATCTCTGCTTTGTAGCCCTAGCCCCCAGACGGCAAGAGACCGGAAGTGGGGTACAAACAACAACAATTTCACTTAATGGCATTATAAGTGATGAATATAATCACATGCAAGGTGATAGAGAAGAAAAGAAATAACCTAAATAACTTTAATCCACAGCATTTGGGATAGATATCGCAAGGCTAGAGACAAAGAGAACTACGAACACTGTTTCGCAAGAGTCAGAGCCATACACCTCTGTGTCCTAGAGAAGTGCTCCTCCTCTCCCCAGCGTACCCCACCACCTCATAGTAACCAATCTCTGCAGTTTCTGCTGCATCCTTCCTGTGCTGCAAGTCAGAACTGTTTCACTGGGGTCGTAGAGGAGATTGTGCCATAGGCAGCCTCAAGGAGGAGAATGGGGCAGAGAGGGGAGAGGAGGGCCTTGGAGAGTAATAGGAAGCAGAAGGTGAGGTGAGATGCAGGACTGCGGTGGCCGGTGTCATCCAGAGCTATGGGCCTCAGTGCACTTGTGCCTATCACCCACGGCGTTGGCATCACCTAAAAGGGCTGAATATGCCAGGTGTGTGCCTGGGATCCAAAAGAGCTCAGGGTTAAACACAACATAGGAAAAATGTTTCAAATACTGTCCTGCACGCAATAAGCATTAACTAGCTGCTATTAGCTCTCCAGGTAATTTTAGAACATACGTGTTTGCTGCTCAATTATACATGCCTTGGGGATTTCACGAAGAAGCAAAAGACTCCCAGATGATTCTG